GCATAGATCGCATTTAGGCTGAGACTGGGATTTGTCAAGCTTGTCTGGGAATTGTACACATTGTCTACACCAGATAACACAGTGGTGGTAGAATTGAGGAGTGGATATCTTACTTGGAGAAGTGGCAGTGTGCGTGGAAACGCCTCAGACACTGGAGGCAGTGAGTCAGGTCTCCTCCAGCCAGGTGACAAACACCGCACACTTCTCTCATACTGACCAGCTCTCCACCTGAGCACTAGATACACATTTTATTTATTTTAGCAGATGGGATTGTTCTGTCAAACAGATACAAGGATAAAAAATTAAGAAGACTGCACCAGGCAGAACATCACTCGAGTTTTTACCTGGTTTCTGCCACTGGGTCCGTTCACAGACGTTGTTACACTGGTGAGAGACGAGGGCGACAGCGGGGAGAAGAAGGAGATGTCTGTGATGGAGTTACTGGATGTCGTGTTTGTTTGCTGCGGCTTGGCAATGAGTGGCTGTGATATAAAATATTGTATTATGACAGAAAAAAATAAGCTTTGCAGACTTTCTTTTTCAATCATGGAGATTTAGAGAGGAAGGGAGCAGCGTTTGTCGCCATTAAAGACATGAAAATGACTAGAAATGTTTAAGGAAGCAGATCATTAAGCGTTATTTTTGTCAAAAATGAAGCAGCATTATCAAAATTTAAATTAAAATCTGAAAATATTTAATCATGGCTTGCATAGATTTTTATACAAAAGTGAACATATTCAATGTGTCCTCATAATCAGATACTTACTTGTAAAGGTAGTTGGGCTGTCTCTCTTTTCACTCTGTTGCCACAGCACCACTCACACTGCCACGGACCACTGCAGATTAACAAGTAAAACCTTACTTTCAGAGCAAAAGTTAAAAAAAAAAAAAACATGTACATATATATTGAAAATAAATGAAAATAGATTGTGACTTAAATGTTTTATTGCCCACCTTGGTATGGATGTGAGTGGAGGGTTCAGGCAGGTCAGATGAAAAGCTTGAGGACAGCCATCACAACAAATCAGCTCCCCTCCGTCCTTACACACTGCGCACTCATCATCATTATAGTGCACCTACACACATACAGAACATATATAAGACACAAACATACACATAGGAAAAGACAGGTGTCTGTGAATGATGTCCTCTACCATGCTTGTGTTTGTCTCCCTCTTGTGATGAAACGTGTTCTTGGCAGCTTTGGACTGGATGGATGCTCCATTTATCTCCTCTGGCTGACCACAAGAGTAAAACTCCCCACTGACGTCTATGCACTTTCTGGCAGTTCCTGTTAAATGACAGACTTTTCGTGTCACGATGAAGCCATTTTGTGGATAATTGTGAGCATTAAAAAGAAGAAGATAGGTTCTCACCCAATGGCGTTTCATCTGAGCCGACCACCTGTTTGATATGGATCTTCTCTCTGGCTTCATGACTGACTGGCGGCTCAGTGGAGGAGGAAGACAGAGTGACGAGTCTCTGGACCGAGGAGGACACCGCCTGAACACCTGTGGCACAAAAATGGTTGAATGTATCTGTAGTAATAAAGCATCTTCTGTATATATTTTAAAATATGACCGAATTGTAATTACTATTTCCAGATGTTAGCTCTGGGGCTGGAGCTTCACTTTTCACTCTGTATAGCCTTACTTTACCGCCTGTAGGAAAATTAAAAGAACTCGTTTTATTATCATCAGGAGCTTATAATTTTATTTTTCACAGATTACCTGAACGGCCCAAAAGTAAGTTGCTTTGACATTTTTTGTTCAATTTGTTAAGGCCACTAGAAAGTGAAAAAAAGATCTCTAAATGAGTATGTTAGAAGAGATGCATTATGGGAAATAAAAACCTGGTCCATCGCTTGTCTTGGCATGATACTGAGCGTGCTGATTGTGTGAGTTTTTCCCTCTGTCCTCGTGGCTCCTCTTCTTGATGTGAGGGGTTTTGTGGCCTCCAGAGGATCTCTTCTCACCTCTAGAACCGGCAGCATCCCGTCCTGTCAATAAAATGGAAGAAATTACCAAATAATAAAGGCTAAACTTAAAATATTATTTGCTCTAAATGCCTCTGAGTCGTAGATAGAAAACTCAGTCCTAAAAGCACACATGGACAGGGAGGACTTCTGCTTCCATTTAAATTACTTCCAACATATCTCTTCATAAAATATAGCATATTTTAAATAATAGAAATTGTATTTTCAAAATAAATCTCAGTCTGTTTTTGAGCTCACACTGGTGAGTTATGCTACATATTTCTATTCATGTTGGTTCTTCTGTTGTTAAGAAGGTTATGCACAGAAGCATACATAATCACTTAGATGATAAAATGGACAGTAGAGCCTCACAGTTCAGTCAGACAGACATATTATGAACATCTTGGTGAAACTTGAACGCCACATACTCGAGTGCAGGTTAGTGAGCAGTGTCTGCAGCTTGGGGTAGCTGTCCAGGTTGTAGTCTTTGGACAGGTTGCTCCAGAAGGCCTGGATGGTGGATCTGCTCTGCTCCAGGACCCAGGACAGGAGCGAGTACATGGCCTTGTGGGTCCCTTCTCTGCCCTCCTTCTCCAGAGTGTCCTGTAAAAACAAGAGATATATGAACTCTGCAGTCTGGATTAAACCATAAATCTATGCAAATACATGTCATAATCTACTGTAAAATACTGTCAAATCTATCATCAAATGCTAAATACTTAATTAAAATGTAAAAACAAGTGAAAAGTGACATTTCCAATTAATGAAAGCACACTTTCTTTCTTTCTTACCTTCAGTTGTTGGTCAGTAATGATGTTTTTGTCTGCCAAACCATAGACGAGAGGGAAAGAGTCATCTACAGCCATAGCAATATCAGTCCGCAGCTCCTTCAGCATGGAGCGAAGGTTTGTGTCCCTAAAACTTTCCACTCTGGACATGATCCACTTTGGGTGTAGATGAGATCTAAAGTGACCCAGACCTGAGAGGACCTGATCATACCGGAGGTATTTTTTGATGGAAGAGGTGTGTCCTTCTTTGGGGAAGCAAAGATTGTACAGGTGCATCGTTTAATGCGGACTGATAATGTGGGATATCTTGAATCATTTGTGTTAAAAACAATCTTGCATGACTCTTTCATATAATCTAGTGTTTCTGGTTTTAATCCATATATAAATATCATTAAACCACCGTGCATATGTACAACACTGACACTGAGATTGTCAGAAACTCCACATTGAAGCTTTCACCCTTCAAAGCAAGGCCACCCTCGACCTCCTGTCTCTGTGGAGTTCATCTGTCCACTAACAGCACTAACTGTCTGCGTTGACCCCTCAGGGGAATCAAATGACAGGTTGTCCATCCAGGGGAATACCTGTCCTCTTACATCAGGAGAGCTAAGTGCAAACGACCTGATGCGTCACAGTGACAGTTTCCTTCTTAAAAGGTTCTTTCCACATCAACTTCCCCTTAACGATCAGGTTTTTGAGGCACTAACTCACCACAGGGAGCTCAGGCTGCTGCAAAATTAACACTGTAAACAATTAAATGATTGATTGAATGGTTGGCTGTTTGCTAGGCAACTTTTTCTACCATTTTGGTGGTTTCCACCCACAAAAAGTTATGTTATATTCCAATTAATCAGCCCCTTCTCTCATCTATCAGTAGTATGATTGACACTGACAGGGCGCACACAATGATTGATAACTTATTATCATTAAAACCAGATAGAACTAAACTGTAAATATTTTCCTAATCCAATTATTATTCTGACATCTGTCTGTATGAGTGTTACATTAAACATAATATAACATTATCTAAAATACTGTTAGATGTCAGCTAAGGAACATTCAACATTTTGGTAAAATACACTTATTAGCTTTAAATAAGAGGATCAATACAACTCTTATATGTGTTTATTCAATATAAAGCCAGAGGCAGGAGACAGTTAGCTAGATGAGAAAGTTGGTACCACTCTCATTTAATGAAGCTGGATGGTGGCTTGGCTTAGCATAAAGACAGGGTGAACAGGGTGAACAGCTAGCCTGGCTATGTCCACCTAACAGCCCCTCTAAAGCTCACAGGTTACTAGTTACTACTATCTAGTTTGTTTAATTTGTACAAAAGTGTAAAAATGACAAGTTGTGGTTTTATGGTGGGTTATGTGTTGTGCTATGTTTTGGCAGCAGTGACTTCTTGGACTGTTTAACTTTCTTTAATTTGTCTTCATGCTAGGTTAAGCTAACTATCCAGAGTCGTTAAACGGATATGAGAGTGGTACAAATCTTCTCATCTAACTATTGGCAAGCGAAAATAAATCCTCACAAAATGTTGAATATTCCTTTATATGTCTTGAATCAAACTATACTCTAAAGGTAAAATAAATATAGGTCACAAAGCAGCATAATGATAAGTGAAACAGAAAAAGCTCCATGAGTATTATGCTTTCTCTCCCTTTAAAGATAAAACATGTTTCATTTTAAGGAAGTAGCTTGGCTAAAAAATAAAGCTAGCTAACACTACGCATAAGTCAGCAAAACAGGGTGTGTGGCTAAAGTTAGCTGATTAACATATCCATTTTTAAAATGGGGTGTGAAGATAATTAGCCTATATGGTTTCTTAGATTACATTAAAATTCCACTACTACTACTACTACTACTTCCACTTCTATTTTTCTAACACCTTTTACTGCTGTCCAATTAATTTTTAGTTAATTATTTTTTGTCATGTAACTGGTTATGTGATTAAAGAGATAAATCCTCCCTTCTCGCTGCATGGATGTAAAACTAAAACATTTTTAGATTAAATCAGTAAAACCGTACAGTCTGAGATAAATAGAGTAGACCATTTTGCTACCAGGTAAATGTTGATGGTTAGGAGAGTGAAGCCCTTTAATCTGTAATTTATTAATCATTAAACATTATTACATTATTCATACTGGTGAACAAGGACCACTTCTACAGAGGGACGTTCACAACATACATATTACATTATTATATACAGTGCAGTGCATTACAGTGGATCGTTATATGTGTATTACCGGGATGGAGGGATGGGGAGACGGGAGAGGAACGAAGGGTTAGAGGAAAAGAGGAAAAGGAGCGGGAGCGGTTGGAGGGACGGGGGAGTTGTGATAGTAAGTTGTCTTTTTATTACTTCTTTTTTTTTTTTTAACCACAGTACAGTTTGTTCTATAAAAGTTAAACCCATAGAGAGATAGAGTGCCACATTTTCACAGCTACTGTTAGGTGAACCTACTGGAAGTTGACTCTTGTGGGAATATCAAATGAGATACATTTTTGTCATGAGATGCTATAGAGAGATGCTATAAAACATTCTAAGATAGTCAACCTCCTTCCAGAGTGTGGAGACCCTGGAGGGCAGGCCAAAGGTCAAAGGTCAAAGATCAGATCAGCGTGCATGCGTGCTGCAGACATTCAGACGTGTTCGGCCATCTAGAAAAATGGCCGACCCCCCCATTATTTCTCCTTCTATGTTTAGGCATCATTTTTGGTGCTTTCCCTTTTTATATATAAAAAATACAAAACATAACAGCGAAAAGAATTCCGTTGGTTGTCCCGTTTTTCTCCTTTTTCATTTTTCCAAAACTGAGTTGTTGTGTTTTTTGTTCGTTTTCATTTCAACATTTTGTTTTTGTTGTTTTTTCCCTTTTCTCCTCCAGTCACTTACATATTGACAAAGTATACAATATTTTACAACTGAACAAGACTGAAAGATAACATTTGATTTGTCCAATCAGATACAAGGCCCGCATCCTATATCCAATTAGAGAAGTCAACTGGAAGCTAACCAGTAGTAAGCAACACAACAAGCCTATGGTGTGAAGGGAGCTGTCCGATCTCAGCTCTGCATTAACATGAGCACCCGCCCTCGGGAACAGTAGGCTCTGCCGGTTTGTCCAGCTTGATGTCAATCACTGGGAGTTATCCAGTTATGGAAAAAGTCAAATATTATGTCCTGACGTGACAGTAAAATGAATAATGCTTTAAATATACAGGCCTGCAAGTTAAGAGTGTAACTATTTGTACATACAGGGTACCAATTAAATACTAGGCACTTTTTATTATAATATAATATATTGGCTTTCATTGTACATAAACAGCTTGCCACAAGATTTGTATACTGTATGTTGTCCTATAAAACACAGATAATTTGTTTCTGCTATGTATGCGCTCGTACTTCAAAATCGTACTTCAGCAGCCCCCCAGATTTCTTTAATTTTAAAGCTTTTAGTCTTTACAACCGAGTGGCGCTGATATTCAGTAGTTCTCCCCAAAACCTGTAAACAGACACTGCGGAGTTCCCCTTTAATAATCTGCTGACGTGACAGGACAAAACAAGTCTTCTCCTTGTGTGTTCTTCTTTTTGATCATCAGATGATCTTACATTAGATCCCAAAACTACATAATTACTGTTACTTTATTATCATTTTAAAATATAGAGTCTTTTATAGCCACAGTTTAGTCTAATGTTTTATTCCCAAGCAACAATGTTATAATAATAATAATGATGCTGTAAATGTTTTACAATGTAAGTGTTACTGCAATGTAAATTCTGTTTGTCTTGCAAAAATATTAGTGTATCCTGTAATAATTAAAAAGATGCTTAATATTTTTTTAAATACTTACAGTGCAGTGTCATTAATTTAAAGTCCCTCTTCAACACAATGTTGTTACCCCTTATCCCTTCTGCCCTTGTACATATTTGTCCAGTATAAGTACCCAGTATAGTTTCTAAATTGTTGTTCTAAAGCAGTTTGCATGAGTTAATTCACATTTACTGTTATATTATTTACCGTTTAAATAACCTTCCTCCATCACACATCCCCAATGTATGTCATTTCCCAGACAGCCACTATGTGGTGCTGTACCTGTGCATCCACACTACCTTCCAGGCTCTGTGCATTTCCTCTCTATTAAAGAATAAAGGTTTAATGGCTGATGCCTCAGCGGACAGTAGGCTGGGCGGTCTGTTTGTACTAGCGCCAACAACCACTAAGAGATTAAAAATAAGCTGCCTATTTCTTGGCTGTTTTGGCTCTTGGCACAGTGAGTCACAGCGGCTGTAAAGGATACTGCCTTCAGGATTTGCGTCGTCCAAGCTTTCCATTCCAGGTAGGGCTGCTGCAACCCGACGAAACAGCTAGGAGGAGAGGAGAGGAGAGGAGAGGAGAGGAGAGGAGGGAGAGTTAAGGATCAGGAAAGTGGAAAAGAAGATGTACAGAGAGGAGAAAAAACAGGGAGGGGAAAGTAGAGTGCATGAAAGAAAGGACAGCAAGAGCAGGAAGGTTGGAAATGTGTAAAAATGTGCATTACGTTTGTGAATAGGAAAAGGTTCATGTCGACATGTTGCATCATCACATTTCTCAGCAGTGATGGAGGGAAGTAGATCCTTTATTTAAGTAATAGCAGCAAAATCACACTGTAAAAATACTCCATTACAAATTAAAAAAAATATATAAGCAAAAGTACAATCTGCAAAATGTACCAAAAATATCAAAAGTAACAGTATTAAATGCAGAAAACAGCCCCACTGAGTGTTATATATAAGTACCCTCTGTTTTCTATGTAAAATCAAAATTTGTAGAACAACTAGTAATTATAGGTGTCAGATAAGTGTAGTTGAGTAAAAAGTACAATATCTCCCTCTGAACTGCAGTGGATTAGAAATATAAAGTGACATGAAATCGAAATATTTATCTAAAGTACCTCAAATGTGTGCTTCCTACGGGTCTGTGGAGCTCCTACCCAACAAACCCCCTCCACATATTTACACACAGACATTTTATCAATTCATGTTGGTGACTCGATCACCTTGGAGGGACACGTGAACGGCAGAGAGGCTGAGAGCAAACTGACGCCCAAAATGCTGCGAAATATGGTGAAACTGCAGGGATCACCTGTTTGACATTGCAGCCTGTCTTGGCACTGGTCTCGATGAACATGACGTTCAGCTCTTTGGCTCTCTGCTCTCCTTCCTCGATCATGATTTGCCTGCAGGGAGATCAGGCCAGACTTCAGCATCGCCACACACGTTGAAGACTTATTTATTCAGTTCTGGCACGTTGAGGCTTTCAGTTAACAGAATATCTTCAAGACTACATTAACTGCAGCTAAATGCTACAGTCCATTATGACCCATATCTGACTCACTCACCTCTTCTCCTCCAGATCTGTTTTGTTGCCAACTAGCATGATGATGACATCACTTCCTCTCTCTGTCCTGACATCATCAATCCATTTGCAGGTCTGCTGGAACGAGTTCACATCTGTGGAGACCAGAATCTTATTTTATATCCAGTCTTTTGTGTGTGTGTGTTAATGATGTACAAATAGTCATTTAAATACAGTACAATTGACCTTTTTCACAGCAGCCATATTGACATGAAATAGTAGGGTAAACACAGGTGTAACCAATGATACTAATTAAGACTCAGTTCATTTAGTGTAGCAGCAGTTCATTGAGCGAACATGCACAATAGCAGCACCCTGACTCTGTCTGACATGAATGGAAAACCTTAATTAGTGTCATTGGTAACACCTCTGTTTACCCTACTAGTTCATGTCAAAATGGCTGCTGTGAAAAAGGTCTATTATTATTA